GTAAAATTTTCTTACTCCATCGGCAGAAATTTTTGACTTAATTTGAGTCAAATTTTCAGACAAGACAAATAATCTTACACATTCTGAAAACAAGATTATTATTCTTACACAACCAGTTCTTGTTTAGTAAATCAGTCTCAAAACAAGATCAAAAAGACTTTTTGACTAGATATAAGATTTTAAAACTTGGTAAGATGGACAGTTTTTTGCAGTGAAGTTGCTATCCGGCCATTTCGACCGAGWCGATGTTCGGCTCTTTCAAACCCCACCCAAAATAGTCAGTCCGACCAATCACGTCTTTGACAAACTCCTCCCACAAGAGTCAAACAGACCGTTGTTTTCCCCAAACCCCGCCCACACCCTAAGAGCCTCCCACTTGTGACTACAGAGACCCCAGCAGCTCAGGTTGTCACAGGAATGAGCTGAGCAAGTTGAAAATTTTATTTATTTATTTATTTATTTATTTATTTATTTATTTATTTATTTATTTATTTATTTATTTATTGTGTGTTAACCCAAGCAGACCTCTAAGCAAGCCATTTCAAAAGAGAAAATTTAGTTTTACAACTAAACAAACCTTATAATTGATGTAATTTTAACGGTTATTATGTCCATCTGGAGCAATTCATTTCAGGCTCCCATTTTGTCTTTCCTCCTAACCCACCCTGTCAGCTTTATTTGCACGTTTTGTGACTTTTTGAGTGTTTATTTAGTCTAATGATTGCCCAGAGAGGAATGCAAATATTTAAATGTCTGGAGAGTGGCATCGTGACAGGCGGCTCTAAATCGTATTGTCAGACTGTGTGCCGAAGGAGAAAAAGGATTTAGCTCTGTCACAAAGAGAAGCTGGAACGAGGCTGATCACTTTTTCTGCTCTTTCAGGCTTTGCTCGGTGCTTTCATGCAGGCAGAAGCTCAGTAGGCCTGTTTCCAACTGATGGGTGGATATTCAGACTCATAAGGCAGTTAGTTCATTGTATAGAATATGACAAGTCATTTATTTGAGACTGCCGGTGTAGAGCATGAAGGCGTTTTAAGAAGTTTGGACTTTACTATTGTTAAAATACTAGAATATGGTAATACGACCTTGCATCAAAATCTACGATTGCAAAAAGGAGACTCTGTTCAGCTCTTGGCTCATCGTCAAAATGGAGATCAGTTCAAAGAAAAGCACTGATTTTTCTGAGAGAAATCATTGGAGATTGACTGCAGTCACTTGGTGTTAATTGATGAGCGGCATTAAATCACTCCAGTAGTCTTACTGGTGGTCTGACAGATCCTTCTGTTGTTTTTGTGCACGAGTTATTCTCAGTTTTGGAGTTTGTGGAAGGCTTTATTTTTCTTGTTTCAATAAGAGAGCTAATGAAAAAAAGTTGTCTTACTCTCTTTTAGCTCCAAGGAAAGAAAATATCCTAATGATCCACACTTTTGATTAAACTTTGGCTGATCTTTCGTTGTTCTTTCATGACAATAGCAGAACATTTACTATTAAAAGTTGTCCGTCACTCTTTGGGCTCCTGAGGAACAATCGATATTGTACTAACTTTGATAAACTGGAACACTCACTTTATTATATATTATCACCCATCTGGCTATAAAATACAGAGTCAGTGCATATAAAATTAGTTTTAACTTCAGGGGATTTTATTCTTGACCAAAGTCTGATTTCATCTCATTAATTTTGTCTGCAAATGAAACAGGTCATTTAGTATTCATGAGCATGTAATTGGTTACTAACAGCCTATGCGACACATTTTGAAATGGCTAATTAGACCGATAAAATGTTCTACACCGCCCTAATGAATTAATATTGTGCTGAAAAGTGTTGTAATATTTGATAGTGACAACCTATTGTGACTGGTTTTTAAAGTTCAAAGGCATTAGCTGTTCCTTGGCAAAACCCTGCCCCACACATTGATTATATACACATTAATTACTCTAACGACATATTCAAATATATTGGTTTATGAAAATGTAAAAGTGAAGCACAGAATCTTACTGCCAACCCTGTTGCTGTGTGTTAACAGTGTATATGTACATGTTTAAGGAACATAATAAATGGTTGCAGTCATGAAATAGACTTCAGTTGGGGCATTTTTTTGATCTCAGAGGAAATTACCATCACATGGCTTTTATTAAAAGCAGTCTTTCTGAATTTAAATGTTTGGGTTCTTGGTGTTCAAGTTTAATATTTATCTAATTGAATTAAATTCACAAACTAACAAATGCTCAGCTTATCTATAATTCATAAAAGCAATGGATGTTGGAAGTTGTTCTACTATTCAGAAAAGAGTGCTATAACTATAAATTTATTGTGCGCTGTAATCACTTTCTATTTTCAGATGAGATATGTTCTTTGATGTAATTACATTCTTGATTAGGAGCTGTCCAGTTCAAAGGCCAGATAAAATGTTCTGCAGCAGGCAATCTTGTCTCATAAACTGTGCGTCATGATCCATGGTGAGACGAGAGGGAAAGGACCCAAACGCAGGACAAGGAACGGTCAGCCAGAAAGTGCAAACCAGTCATTTATTATTCAATAAATGAACCAAGCCAAAGGTGTGAGGGGCAATGATCAGGCAAAAAAGCAAAGGAAACAGTGATGAAAGGCAAGTGTGCTGATTGGAAACAATAGACAGGTGTGCAGAAAGGAAGACCAAAAACTGATGAAACCAAATCATCTCTACTAAAATTAAACAAAAAGAAAATCCATCAAAAGTGGCCAACCAAAACTAACCCAAACAAAACTTGAATTTCAAACCTCATACACTACAAGGTATAACATTGTGGCTCATTGTAGATAAATAATTACTAATAATATATAAACAGACAGTTCAAAATGATATTATTATTGTCAGAAAGTAATAATTTCTCAAATTTCAACAGATCGTTTATTTAGAAAAACAAATCAAAACGGAGTATATTAAGTAGTCTTAATCCAAAACTGCAGAAATATACTATGTGATGTCATGTCCAGTCTTCTACGATTGCCTGATTTTTGTTTGTTTTGTTTTGATCAAATCAACTTTACATAAGTTTGGTTTTATAGATTACCTGCCATCACAATAAACAACAAAATGTACTTTGTTTTGTGATTGTGTGTCTAACAAAGTTTAATAATAATAATAATAATAATAATAATAATAACAAGTATAGGAATCAGTTTGGAGGTGCACAAATTAACTTAAATGACAGACATCAGGGACATGTAAAATGTTTATTGGTGAAATATTTTTACAGCAGTTTGGCTGAAACCAAAGCATTACATGAGCAAAATACAGCCGAGTTACTGTAATACACATTACTCACACATGCCATTGTATTTTCTAGCTGATCTATTTCTATGATTCTAGGCCACATTTTTTGGTTTTGTGAGAAATTAGGCAATGCAGTCACATGTGAACAGAGTGAAGAGCAAAGGGACTGAGTACACATCCTTGAGGGACCCCTACGCTCAGTTTGATGGTGTAACCTCTTGCTGCCCATCCATATTGCGTGGCCTTTCTGATAAAGTCCAAAATCCAGGTGACTTTTTCAGTCTGAGCAGGGAAATTTGAGTAGCTGTTGTGTCAAAGGTTCAAGAAAAACTTGGACAGAATTGTGGAATAACTGTTTTTTTTCCCACTCGTTTGGGATAAGGCTGGACGGCACATTAGGGGAGAGGTTAGCACAATCACCTCACACCAAGAAGGTCCTGGGTTTGAAACTGTGTGGGGTCTGGAGAAAATGAGTAATTGGGTTAAAGCACTTCAATATAACACGTCAGGGCCACATGCTGGTAGTAATTTACAGGTTACAGTTTTCTTAGGCACAAGGTCGATGGTTGTTCATAGCTTGTAGTGAAGGAAGGAAACCATTGAAACAGAACCAAGAAATAAGGTTTATATTTCATGTCAGGAAATATAATCATAAAAAAACAAAACAAAACAAAGATAAAATGCATCTTAAGCAGTTGAAAGAACTGGCATATACAATTGTAATGGAATTTTGTTGATGTCTCTGTTTGGGAATCTAAGTTAGAATGCACAATAAATACTATTCTACACGCAAAAAGTCTGCATGCAACTCCACTTAGTAAACAAACAAAATGTATTGTGTTTCTTTTTTATTTTACATATGATAAATGAGAGAAGAAAAAAAAACAAGAGTTCAATATTACCCAGAAATAGAGGTTTGGGCAATAATGACAAAAAGCGGGGAAAGGTATGATTGTAGATTTAAAAAAAAATCAGTTTATGCTCTTTCTATCCTAAATAGCAAACTATTTACAGCAACCACAATGTGTTTTCATGGTCAAGCAGTAAATTAACACTATTTGCACTCGTCTATAGCAGGTAAACGAAGAATCTAACTGCACATGCCGATGTCAAAAACACACTGTGCATTTGAAGTCACAAACACAGGCCTCCCAGAGACGATGAGTTATATTGTGGGTTTTGTATTGCAGTAATCTATAAAGCACCTACTAAAGACATCAGTGTTTGCTGTACCATGGGCGAACGTAAGCCATGTTCTTTTAACCCTAAAGTGTAACAGTTTGCATTATGAGTGTGTTGATTCTTTTTAACAGTTCATAGTTTTGGCATTTACGTAGGATGCTTAGGATGGTGTGTTTTCCCGTTATAAACACTTATGCATGTGCACTTTCTGCCAACACGTCTTTGTTGATGATGCAACACACAAAACTTCCATTTTCTCTATATGTCTCTTTGTGGTTTACTCATCAGCAATAGGAGTTAAAAAAACTTTTGGTGACAAAGGAGTTTCAGTTCAGCCTCTTCTCAAACTTCGATGATGTTTATGGACGGTACAGAGGGATGAAACTGAAACAGACAAAAAAAGTGAATATCAGTTTTGCAGTCTTTTTTAATACTCATCAGTGTTTTGTTTTCGTTGTATATGTGTTTTCTCAAAATCTCTAAAACAAAAATAGGACTTCACCTTGGCTAAAAGAAGTAAATAAAAAAAGCCTGACTTGACAACTGAATTTGCTTGCTTATCCAGTTTCAAATGGCTGTCAAAGACAACGTCAAGTCAATGTTTTCATTACAGAACAGGAAAATCTTTCAGGTATCAAATTCTGACCGCGTTATTCATTCAGGCTCACCTTGCTCCGTAGAAGTCCTCCACTGTGGTGCTCTGGCGTGCTCCTCTCAGACAGCGGCTTGACCTTCTCCTTATTGTTGCTGGAGTCGTTGTCCTTTATGATGTCATACTGTCGACAGAACAGGGCAATAACGGCTGCCAGCCGTGAGGAGGTGGCCGCATGTTGACGAAAACACACAACAGAGAGAGCCGTCAATCACGCGACACCACTGAAGCTCGAGCGTACCAATATGTCTTGGGGAGATAATCGAACATTGCTCCCTGTGGAGCGCTGTGGCTGATCTGAAAACCACAAAGATGCTCGAGTTTTTTTCGTCAAACTTTTCAATCAGTCAGATTCAGTTCTGCCTCCAGGCTCTACAAGGACTGTAAATTCACCGCAAACTTCCTGGCATCAGTGAGGTTATAAATTTCAACAAAAAGGGCTGCCATTAGCTTTTCAGAAATGGATCTGCAGTTCCAGTAATGAGATCTGCAGAGCTGGAGAGAGTTTTCATTTGACTGACAGATGATTATCCATCCTTTATGTCAGCATTCGCCCACGATGCAGCTGGAATGATGCTGCTGCTTTATTAGAAGAGAAGATACTGATTTATATTTCAATTATTTTTTATGAAGTAACAGCAGCACATGTTAAATTACTATAATTACTTTTTCCATATTCAAAATGTTTGTACTTTACTTGAGTCTTTTTACATATTATTACTTCTGCTTCACCGCAGATGAGATGAAATTAGTTAAAATGAAATGACTAATGTTTCATTAAAAATGAAACAGTAGTCTGTTTACTTTTTTTGTACAACAGTTTTGCTGTAGTTCCGTTCATTTTTGAAGAAAACCTTCTACCTTTGTTGTATTTTTATTTTTAGTGCTTCACACTTTAATTGTTTAATTGTTTCACTTTAATTTTTATACTATATTTTGGGTCTTGTCTTTTATGTTGCATCCATCACGAGCTGGGACGTAACGTAAGTGGGGGCTCGTCCGGGATTTGAACACAGGACCTCTCGCACCCCAAGCGAGAATCTTACTCCTAGTTTAACAATTTTCCACTAATATATTGTGATTTTGCTCACTGTCCACATGTTGTACTTATTTTTTACTAAATGTGAAATTTAGGATTTAATATTTAAATATATTATTTAACATTTTAATTTAATATTTAGTAAAAATGTGCAAAACATTTAAATAACAATAAAATGTTAGAGGAAATTTTTTAAACTAAGATTTACATTTAGAAAGTGTTGAAAATGTGTTCGTTTTAAACTTGGCACCCCGTAGTTTTTTTTATTATTTCACATTGAATTTAGAGTTTTCCAGACCAAATAATGACTTGGCAAAGAAAATACAATTAGCTAAAACAATAAACATTACTTTGAGCTGAACACTTGAAAATGAGATCCTCAGCCAGTACACAGAGGAGTAATATCAATGAAGTGTTAGTACTTTTACTTAAGTAAAGCATGTGAATCATTTCTCCAGCAGTGCTCTACTTTTTTTTGTTTGATTTTAGCTCAGAAAGGATCACTATCCTAAAAGTTAATTTACTATAACAGATAAGTCAACGGCTTATCATTTGTCTAATCATTTGCGTTCTCATTTGTCTAATTAATGTTTTTAAAGAAAACAGCACACATAGAGAACAACAGAATAATTATCTTCAATGAACAAATACAAATAATTAAAAAATATATAATTTAAAACCTTTGTGACTATCCCCCCGTGACACAGTTCTTTCCCTCCCACTCTCAGCCTCTGCATGTGTTACACTGTTTTTTGCTCATTAGTACTATTTAACATCTCACTCTGCCTCTCGTGGGCGGGAGGCCCTTGCGCCTGGCAGCCTGTCAGATCTGCCACATCTCATTGTGCCTCAACACTTCATTAATCTGCACACTTCTCCAAAGAAGCAGAAGCTCTTGGTTCGACGGAGAGAAAAGGGCACAAAGAGAATATCTTCAAAACATGCAGGTTTATTTTTCAAATCTTGCTTGTTTTTTTCTTTCTTTCTTCTTCTCCTCTGAATAGATATCTCACAGGGATTCTTCTCTACTGAAAACAAGTTTATTGATCGCTAACAACGTACTGATGTAACTACACGAACCTTTGTTTGGTGCACATCATTATTTTTCAGGCTGTTACTGACAAGGGCTGTGAAAATCCTCCAAGAGAAACAGTTGAGAACCCAATTGAGATAATTTGCCATGGTTTTTAATACTTTTTGACTGCAACTACGTGAGGTGAAACCTTAAACTGTATGAGAGAAAAGCATCTTAATAAAGATCTAAATGACCGGGGCCACTCGTGTGTCTTTGCAGACGTGTTTTCACCAGCAAGAACAGGTAACTCTGCCATGCAATGCCATTAAAAGTCACAAAATATGTGCAATAATGTGTTCAGAAATAAAGTAATAACTACAGTGTTGTATAAATGTTTTAAACCAACTCTAATTTATGTATATTTTATTTCAAGGCTTCCAGACCTTCTTATAATCCTTTAAAGCAGGGGTGTCAAATTCAAATACAAAGTGGGCCAAAATTTAAAAAAAATGGACAAGTCAAGGGCCGGACTGTTTCAATATTTATTGATAACTTACTGAATGACCTTATTGCACATACTGAACCTAAAACTAACAAGACCTATACATTATTGCTAATAAAAACAGCATTATTTATTAAACAAATTGAATAAACAAAAAAAAATCTGTTGCTTTCATTTCTTATTGCTCTATCTGCAACTTTTCCAAAGTAAAATTCAAGTGAAAATGTTTTTTTCTCCAGGTAAACAACAATCCAAAAATATTTTTTAAACTCAAATGTCCAGTCCAAGAAAAAAGAAAATGCTAAATTAAAACTGGATTAAAAACTGAAAATCTGTTAAAGCTCTGTTTGCTGCTCTGTGATGCCAGATACTTAACTATTGGGAACTTACTGAAATGACCACACATTGAACTTGGAAATAACAAGGCTTATTGCTTAGCATTATTCAATAAATTTAAATTAAAACTAAAATAAAATCAGTTGCTGTCATTTCTTATGGCTTTATCTGAAACTTTTCCAGAGTAATTTTGAGAGAACATTTTTTAAC